TAATGATTCCAAGAGAATCTAAAATCTAACAAACCATTAGAAAAGGGAGTCCGACAAGGTTATTGGACTGTGAAGGTTAATTCTAGGTGTCAACTTGGTTAGATGAAGGAATGCTGAGAAGCCTAGCCTCTTTGTGGACTGCTAATATATCGTATACACAGAGTGGGGAGATGTAGTTGGAAATATTCAACCCTTCCCCTCTATTCCCCACCCCATTTGTCCACATGCCAGGGCACATTCTTGTTCTGGGCTAGAGAAGAGCAACTAAAATTTACTCAGAGATTTCCCTGTACCAACAAATAATCTTGTGACTATTTTAGAAAGAGAAAAAAAAAAAAAAGTAAATTTAAAGTTTATTTGCACTTTAAAAGTTAATGATAAAAATGCAATTATGGTAATAAATCATCCTCACACAATCTATAATTTTAAGTAATTTATTTCAATAGAAATATTTCAGAAAACTGTACTTAAATTCATTTTAAGCTTATGCAAACACACTGAAGATCACACATTCACACTTGCATATTAAAAAGAAACAAAAAGTGAGAGAGGAACCAAGCTGCACATCACTCAAGGAGGTCATAGTGCAATTGAGTGCTTCATTAGAGTACCTCAAGTTAACAGGGATAAAGAAGAATAAAAATGGCTTGTGTTTTCCTGTATATTATCGTCATTGGGGACTTACCCTGCAGGTTTGGTCTCCTTTAGATTATGTTGTGAACAAGTTCCCCCAACCCCTCCCCACACACATATACTTCGGTAGGTCATAAGTAGGTCGTAAAACAATGAATTTGTCAATAATCAAGGTGTAGAAACTCTTGAGAATCTGCTGACTTATCAGCTATTTTGTCATAACTACTACTAAGTCAGTAATCATTGAGCTATATTTGTGAGTAGTGCTAGCAGGTGATATCTTCAGGGAAACTTAATATTTGCTACCTGGTATTAGAGCACAGCTAATATTCATGACTTTTTCTGCTTTTCTATTAAGAAAACCAAGTTTAATTCTAAAGCACTCTAATTGTGTATTCTTTTTATCCCACCATTGCTTTGCAGTCCAAATGGCTAGAATCAATATTTAAATTCTGCTAATACCCGCAAGGACCAGTTAACCCTTTTCTCTGGCTTTAAAGACTGTGTTTACTTTATTCTGGAATATACTAGTCTTTTAAAAAATGTGAAAGTAGTATCCTGACTCAGATGAACAACAGTAGCTCTAGGTCTTCCAATACTCTCAGAGAAACATTTCCAAGCTTTGCTTTCACTGGGAAAGATAGTTTAGTTTCTTAACTTTCTTTTAATTTATATATTGGAGTTGTTTTCACTTTCTTGCATAATATTTTCAGGTAAACAATAACTGGTAAGTGACTGCTTGTTTGTTCTGAGTCTTATTTAAGTATAATAATGAACTGAAATAAGTCTCATTTCTGGCCAAAGGGACTCTCACTATAAGAATTCAGTAGCTTTAATGAAACTTATTCTTTTAGGGATTTTCCGAAAGGCTTTATAATTAAATCTATGCTCAAAATAACAACATTGTCATCAACAACAAAATAAAAACGAATTTTGCTGGACAGATGCTCTTCAAAGTTTTTAAGACTGCTTATCTAAAGGCTGATCTGGGTAAGTTTATTTTTAATCTCCTACCCTAAAAGGAGGAAAAGCAGGGATTGAGCTTGTTTAACAAGACTTAACTAAGGAAGACTGCAACAAATTACCTACAGCTATCTGTTCAGACTTTCTTAGACTTGCTGTGAGAAAGATTAAGCTGGTGGAGAGAGGGATAGCACACACTCCTGAAATAGGAGTAAGAGGGCAAATGATTATTGTCATACTTGATGCCCTAAAATTGGTCTTCAAATTGATAAGGCACTGACCAAATTTTCCCCACACACAACTTAAGATACAGATGTAATGAAATTTTTTCAAAAAGCTTAAGAGTTTGTATGCATACATCTCTTTCATTAGAACCATTGAAATAGGAAAAATAAAAAGTCACCTTAGACACAAGCCATTTTTAGGGAAGCAAAACCAAAAGGTACTTAAATCATTTTGAAAAAGTTCACATGGAAAGTAATTCATCATCAATGTGATTAAACAGCAATTTTCGTATCTCAAAGCTGAGAAAAAATCAATACGACTCTGGCTATAAAATCATAAATTTACTATGTTTGAAAAGAAATAACACAAAAGAAGAGAGAAAATAAAAGCAAACCCTAAAAGGTCTTTAAAGAAGTCAGACAAACCTCATCACTTGCTCCATATCAATCTATTCATGCAACACTAGTACTATAGCTCCACTAGGACACAGTTGAATTCATCTTCATTTTCAAAAAGGGATCCAATTATTTCAAAAGACTTTGAAGCAGAGGATTTCTTTTATTAGAGACTATCTTCTGTTAAGCAACATTGGTGCTCCTTGTTTGCAGAAGATAATATGGTGGTTTAAAAACTGGTTGTAAAGGAATGTGCTTTGAAAAACAGGAAGGAACTCAAAAGTGTATATATTCTTATAAAAAGCCAATGGATTAAATCTACTATTACTATTTATTTCCAATTAGTATGATGCCCTATAGTTTTGTTTTCAGTAGTAAAGATATACAGCTTAAAGAGTTAACCTTAAAAAGAAAAAGAAAAAAAACAAAAACAAAAACAAAAAAACGACTTAGCTCAAGTCATTGGCCAGGTAAATTTTAAAAATCCCAAGAGATCAACAGGCTGCTTTTAGAGGGCCTCAGTTTCAACTAACATAGATACAGGAAGAGACTGTAAACATTTTTTTCCATTCTTTTCTCCTTCTAACAGTAGTGCTTCTTGGGCTCCTTTATAAATATAAAGCCACTTATAAAAAACTTTGCAGCTATAAACATCCAGACTCTTGACATAACGAAAAGACCCAATACCAACACAGTCCATACAGAAGGTAGTGCAATAGTTATATGGCATTTTCCACGCAGGAAAAATACTTGTCATTGAAGCACATGCCTAGGGAGAAAAAAATACTCAGACTCAAATTGTTTGGATCCCTTTTTGTAATGGTTACACAAATAATATTTACATACTGAAGAAAATGGAATAGAAAGGTGTGTTTGATCAGTTCTCTTTCAATTCTTCTTATAGACTGAAGACACAGTACCAATAATACTCTGAAAAATAAACAGAGCCTGAACCCAGAGGGGGCATGAAACTAAAAACAGTGCTCAGGAAAGTCGTTATATTTAGTTATTTTTAGTTATATCTTTAAAACTTTCATATGTTATCTTCATATGTTATGTATCTTTCATATGTTACTCCCATATGAAAATTAAGCCTCCATGTTCAAATAAACTGTTAAATAAGATACGCCTCAAATTGTATTTTGGCTAGTATTTATATAGCTCAACCCCAGGCTATGTAATATGCCACTCATTATGTTTATCATAAACCAACTCAAATTTAAATTATAATTTCTAGTGAATTCTTCTTGACTAGGAGAGAAACAAATGAGCTTAATGTTGAAGGAAATTTTGAGCTTTTGAATCACTAATTTACAATTGACGATAGGTTTAATAAGATTCATCTTCCCACTGAAAAACTACCTATCTAATATACTTTGGTGGCATATTTTCTTTGCTTGAATTATTATCAGATATTATTTAGTGAATTACAGATCATAAATTCACCTACATTATTTTAATTCACACTTCTCTCTGGTTCCAATTTTCTTCAAATGCTTAAAAATCAATGACTAATCTTTTGAATGAACAAATTTGAAGACAGAAAAACAATGATGACTTCTACTGCACCATTATATAAGAGCTTCAATCAGTCAGATGCCACCATTCTATGTACAGACTACTAAACAAATCTGAACACTATTCTTGCTTTATGCAAGCATCCATTAATGTTTAGAGCTGAAAATGTGAAGTACATCTCCCAGTTTAGCTCTTTCTCTTTGGCAAAACTGTGTGATGTCAGTCTCTGACTTCCAGTTGCGTATTTCCACAGATACGGTTAACCGGCAACATATCTACTTTAGCTTATTTATGACAAACAAAATAATTAACAATAAAAAATCCACAGGGTTCTCACTCACAATATTTTTTAAAAAGCACATACAACACTGTTAATATTATTTCTGAAGAGCAATAAACAAATTAGGAAATTTTTAAAAAATGCAAAACAAACATAAGATGTGCAAGTTCTACATAGTAATACTGCTGGCTATGCAGATGGGTGTCTTTCTATATACCCAACATGGGTTAAGCCTAGGAGATCATTAATTGAAAAATCATTCAGCGCAGGCAACATTTTGCCCTCTCTAGACTATGTCACTAAACCCAGAGATAATGGCATTTCTAACTGTTATATTAGAAACATATTTGAACTCTTAACATCTTTTCCAAACAGAAAACTAAATTTAAAAATTTAGGACTCAGAAAGAGCTCTTCTACTTTCCTTTGGATAGATTTTTAGCTAATTATTGTATAGGCAATATTTTCTATTTAAGTTTCATGGACTGAAGGGCAAAAGACTTATGATATAGTATAAAATTCTCTAAGAATACAAATATAAGAAATTTTATATGGGGCCCAAAGTAACAGAAGTCTACTAGCAGATATCAGTCAAAAAACATTTCTTACTCTGGGTCACTGCTAAAGTTTATCATGCCTTACTAGTTCATGACATCCAACACATAGTCTTTGCTCAAGCGCCATATTTTGTTAAAATTCTAAGGCATCTCTCCTTCAAACTTTTTCTTTTTGTAATTCCACACTTATTTTAGAAATTAAATGCATTACTGCATAGAAGAGCTCTCACAAAACCCCTTGGTCAACTACTGACAAAATATAGTTTCAAGTTGTCAGAAAAATGTTTCAGTATGTATGCTTAGCTGTATAAGGAAGGAAATTTTGATACTTAAAACTCCCAGAATCTCAAACTTTCACCTTTATCCCACTTAAAATTATTTTGTATGTCTTATAATAAAATACATACATACATATATATGTGGGATCTTTTAAACAAATATGATTCTGAATCTCATATTGAATAAAAATAACAAAGATGGATAATAAAAAAATAACTGGCATTATGCACATTAAACACTGTAAAAGAAAATATCCTGACAAAATACCAATGCAATATATCACCTTGATGATAAAAACCACCTGTGATGGAAAGAAGAGATAATCCAATTAACTTGAAAAAGAATCTAATTATTGTGAAATCTTCTCAGAAATGTTTAGTTTCGGGTTATAGTTCTCTATGACGCAGATCTGTGGTCCAACAATGAATTCATATAGAAAGCTAAGCTTTAACCCCAGTTAGAAACAATATGTCTTCTGCAGCCTACTTTTAAAAAAGTGTCTGGGATATGAACATTCAGCCTTTGTACCTTCTGCAGGAAATAATGTTCCCCACACAGTATGAAATTTCAGAAGTTTAGTGTTAAAAAAAAAAAAAAACTTTTTGTCCGAAACAAACACTTCCACCCCCCACCCAATCCTAAACAAACCCCAACAACTCACATTATTAACATTTCTAATTCCTACACTCTTGCTGAGGGAAAATGAATGGGGCTGCAGACTACGGAGGCTGAACAGACCTTGCAGGTTGGCTGCTGGTATATCTCTACCACATGAAAACATCTTTTCGCATTAATTCAAAACCAGCTCCTGATGTATTCCATAAGAAATAAGTTTTTCCTTTTTAGAGTGTACCTAAAAAAGGCAATTCCCCCCTCCAAAATTAGTACAAAGTTAAAAGAAATGCAAATTAGCTACGATCTATTCCAAGCAAAGCACCGCCAGAAGATTCACACACACTATTTGGTGTTTCATGTTGGTTTTCCTTTCATTCTTTTAAGGCAGTGGTTTCCACAGGTCAGTTCAGAGATAAGCATGGTTCATGGCAGTTTGTTTTACAACTCCAATTTGTTCTCTGGCAATATCTCACTTAACTCCCAGAAATTAGTGCTTTTTTGGTTCAGAACTCCAAAGCCTGAGATGGAGCCTCTGGGCTCTTCCTGGCACAGGATGGTTTGTAGCTGGCGCGCTTTCATCAGGTCCCCACTCTCTCACAGGACCAACAGGTCACCTCTCTTCTCTCAGGCTTTTACTCAAAAGTCATCAAGTTTGTAGGGACCTAAAAATATAAGCATTACAAACTGTGTTTAAAAGTTGTTTTTCAAAGTGGTACTTCTTACCTTTCCTTGTCATTTGGGAAAGGCCAAATCTTTCTGACCTAAATATCTTTTAAAAAAATTTTGATAGAAGGCACTTCAAAAATTTATGAATAATAAATATAATATTCTAGAACATTTTAGAGAGAAAATCATTAAGATGTTTTAATACTCTCTAGCAAACTGACACATGGACAGAGAAAAGGCAGAGACAGTATCTCTCTTGTCTAACACAGGGGGCTCAGTAGATGTTAACTGAATGAATAAATAAATGAAAGAAGAATAAGTATGGCTTTAGTAGGGGGAGATTCTAGACAAACATGCTTGTCATCATTTGCTTTCTCATTATATATAACAAATTCCTACATGTACATTTTTAAAACTAGTACAGATACTTTTATAAAAATTATCATTACACTAAGTATGAAAGAATAAAATTCATTATTAAATAAATTTTGATCTGACACTTGGTCACTAAAAAATCAATAGGTTATATAATAGCTTGCAGATTAGATCAAATTTGATTTCTTATAAGTCTGAAAATACAATAATAATTCTTTGAAGTATATTTTTGTTTTCTAAAAATTAGTTGATGAGTCCTCTAGTCAAAGAACTAAAGGTGGTTTCATCATGTTAAAAAAAAACCACTCAATTCTTAAAGCCAGTTTTCCAAAGTTGTGCTCGTAGAAATATTAACACCTCTCACATTTTTATAATCTTTCTCTCCGAAACCCATTATACTCAAAAAAATGAATAACTTACAAAGAAGTCAGCTTCTGAATGAAAAATTCTGTTGGACAATATAATCATAATGAATTCTATTTATAATGAATTATAAATCAAATACAATACAAATGGCTCAAGTGCTTACAGTATAGATAGATTCTCAGGTCTGGTAAGAAACTCACATTTAAATAAAGTAAAAGTTTCACTTCTTCCTAAGTTGCCTGAACAGTCTTCTACTAAAACTTTTTAAATTTTACAGGTTTTATTTATAAGTTTGCTACACTTTGATTCTTGCAAGTATAGAGAAAAACAAAAAATAATTTTTGCTCTATGGCATTTCATGTCCTTTATGAAAGTTGCTAAAAATGGTACCAAATACTGCTATTAGTCTTTTATACATATTTGAAATAAGAATTGAGAGAAGAAAGCCTATTCCAACAATATTTTTAAAAAATGGACTTTAAGGATAAAGACAGGGTTTGGGTCTCCGGTCTACCATTTTTTACTTGTTTGACCTGTGCATGTCATTTAGCATCTCTAAGCCTTAGTTTCTTCACCTATCAAAAAAGAGGTAACAGTTTACATTTTGGTATCACAGAGTAAAAAATACTTTTATAAGCTTTCTAAACTTATACAGTGCATATTACTTAAAATTAGCTACTGATAACACTTACTCCATACTTCTGTATTATCAAGACCCTAAGTCAATGATTTTCAAAGTGGTTCTGCAAACAAGTCCATAGAAATGTCTATAACTACAAGTTATGTTTATTTTATGTCTGTCTACCAATTTGTGGTTTAACTCAACTCTGCAACAGGTTTTGGGGAAATGACAATGGATTCCTTCTCTTCTGCAACTGAAAGTCATTCAATTTAGACTATCTTTGTTTCAGTAAAATAAAAACAAACAATAAAACCCAAATAGTTTTTGGTTTTACTGCAACAACATAAACCCGCATCAAGTTGTCAATAGATCAAATAAAGATAAAGCATCACAATTTTTATTTAAGTGCCATCTAATTTTATCCCTTCTAGAGCTATACTATCAGTATCCTCTACCACCACTAGCTATCCTTCTATATTTTGGACACCTTAAGCTTGTTCCAGCTCAGTCTATGCACTTGCCATTCCCCTTACCAGCACTCTGTTCTCCTTAGTCTTCACATGGCCCTTTCTTTTTTTGTCATTCATGTCAATATCATCTCCTTAGGGAGATCTTTGCTGCTCACCCTTATTTATCTTAAGTTATCTCTATTCCCATCACTTTATATTACATAATAATTTTTTCTTTATATAGTAATTACTTTTTGAAATTTTATTTTACTCATTTATTGTCTAGCACCTCATTAAAATGTGGACTTCATGTTTTATTGACTGTTGTCAATAAGATAAAGAATAAAAACAACACCATTTTCCTAGTTCTTTCAGAAAATTCTACTTCTCTTTGGAACTCTTTTAAATATATCCTCAAGTTATGGACTATTCTGAGAACTAAGAGAAATGCTCACCTGTTGTTTGTTACTTTGGCAGGCTGCACTCAAATGCTTAAACCACAGCATTGCATTCATTCTATTGCCAGCTTGAAACTTGTATGAATTTCCTAAAATTACCAAAGGGGAAAATAATAAAATCTAAGGACAATGACACGTAATAATTCTGCCAGATATTAAAGCGTGAACTAAACATGGCTAGAGTTCTCAGTTTCAGAATTCTATTCACTTAACACCTGATTTTCCAATACAAATAAAAAGTTCTCTATGGAATGCATTCACGTATCATATATTCAAAAAGCCACTGTTCTGTTGCTTATGAATTGGAAAAAATAATTTTGTTTCCTTAAATGTTCTTTAAAATAAAGTACATCTAAATAAAATAATTGTGTGGCTTCTCTAGATTTGTCTCTGTGTTTAAAACTACAGGATATTGGTTCATAACACTACTTAGGTGATCTAAATATTAGTGGATGTTAACATTAAGTTTATACATACCAAAATGCTTCAACTAGTTTAACACTTTTCTTTGAGATTCTGATACTCAAAATGTTTTCAGTTTCAGAAACAATCGTTTCTTTCTTTACCAAATGTGTGATTAGTCAAGTAATATTGTTTTACTTACTGAACTCAGATGCAAACATTAGGTCAACCTGAATAGAAGACATATCTAGAATTAAGCTGGTCACAACTACAATTTATCTACTCACTTCTCCCTGGGAAAAAAATCCCACTGGGATAGAATTCATAAAAAGCTTAGCTACCCTGAAATGATCTATTAAGCACACCAGGAAAAACTGAAGGAAAACAAAGAATTTGTTAACTAAATCTAAAGAAAGTGTAATTTTATGAATAATGCCTTTGGGACTTTGGGGGGCTGAGGCTTTGAATTCAGAATGTTGAGTAGGGAGTCCTAACTCTGTAAATCAACCTATTTAATCTCCAAATATGACATTTTGGTATTGTTATTTTTTTCCTGCATCCAACATATTAGCTTACTTTTTACTGAAAGTGAACTTTTTATCCTGAAAGTGGAATGTCTGTTGACACAAAATAGCATCTGAATAAACAGAAGTCAAAACATATTTGTAAAGTCAACAAAAGGTAATATAATATTTCAGTTGTGAGTTGCTAGAATGGAATATTCTGGGCAGATATGAAAGATTTCCTTTCTGGCCTCCGTAGTGGTGCTGGTCAGCAACTGGCAGGTGTCATGAAGGAAGAGTACCAACAACCTTAGGACCTTTTCTGATGGACCCTGAGGTACCAGGCACAGGTAAGGTCAGGAGGTGATTTTACACTGTCCAACCTCCAATTTCTTCCATCCATTTTACAAACTACAATGGCCAACAGCCAATTATTTTATTCATAAATGTCTTCTCTATACATTGTATGCAAAATATTATAATTAATTTGGAAAGAGATGTGAGGCAAATAACCAATTAATTTAATTAAAAGTAACAGAATAAATATCATTTAAAGAAAAACTTTACCATGTTCAGAACTTAAGAAGAATAATCTATTTCAAGACATAAATGAAGGGATACTGCCTTTATGGAAAATCTCTGAGAATTTAAAATAACAGTGGTCTATATATTCCGAAATCTCTTTCCTTCCTTTCCCGGTTAGTTCTGTAGGAATTACTTGAGTTTTTAATTTTCAATCTTATGTCCATGTAGCAAAGAAAAAAGCTCTAACAATATTATATCATTAAAATATATTATGTAACAAAAATATCTCCCAATAAATAAAACTACAGAAATATTTCTCATGTTGAGTATTCCAGTTAAACTAGGTTTTGGCTCATCAAAAGATATATATATATTCAATACCTTAAACCCTAGTTATTTTAACAATTCACCTTTCTCAGAGTCTGTCAGCAGGAAGAGATCTGGATGTTCTGGGTCATCAGCCATCATCACCATCCATCCTACCACAGATACGTTCTTATTTGATGTTGATTTAAACTAGGAAATAAAAATATAATTAGTGAAAACATAAAATTTATGGATCATTCTAAGCAAAAATTAAATGTTAGGGAGTGTATTTGCAGTTTCTCCTGATGGGAGGTGAGATTTGTGACTTCACGCCAGTTCAGGTCAGCTTGGAGTCTTTTACTACTAAATTCCATGTAGGCATGCCCTCTTTTGATAATTTTCTATTTTCCAGAACTTTCCCAGTTTCACTCTTCATCAAAACTTAAATGTCCTATTCTCCATTCCCAAAGAGCATGATCTGTTAGTGAATTTGATAAATTCATCTTGTTGCTGTTTTTGAGTGCTACCCCCACCTTTTAGGAAACACACTTTCATTTTCATAGCTATGTTAATTTTAAATCTGATGATTTAATAAACTAGCAGTGCTATCAGACAATTCTTAATGATAATATTCTTACATGTATTTCTCAAAAAAAGGGTATTATCAGCATGCCTGTTACTTTTGTAGTTAATTATTCTTCTATAATTATTATTTTAATCATGCTTCTTTTTGTAACCCTGAGAGAAAACTGTTTAAAAAGAACAGAAAATTAGGTTAGCCTCATTCATGAACATAAATGAAAAAATAAATAAATAAAATATTAGCAAATTGAATCTAGTAGTGTATAAGAAAACTGATACATGGTGACCCAACTGGATTTACTTCAAGAATGTAAGGTTGGTTTAACCTCAGAAGTCAATAAAAGCAATTAAATTGAGAATATTTCAATAAAGCAAGGCTAGTTTAACTTTTAAAAAATTAAATTTCCATATTAACAGATTAAAGTAGAAAAACACATACAACCAACTCAACAAATGCCAAAAAACAAAAAGCATTTGCTAATATATAATGTATATTCATAATAAAACTTAGCCTACTAGGAATAGAAGAAAACTTTCTAATTCAGTAAATAATAAACACCAAAAACAAAACAAAAACCCTGCAGCATACACACTCAGCAGTAAAATGCTAAAACATTTCAAAATCAGTATCAAAGAAGGATGCCCACCACTGCTACTTCCGCTAAACACTGAATTAGAAGACTTAGCTCAATAAAGCAACAAAAAAGAAAGAAAACCTATAAAAGTAAGAAGGAAATAAAACTGCCATTACTCAGAAATACTATTATCTACACAGATAATCCACTCAAATCTACCAAATTAATAAGATTAACAAGGTTGCTGGGAAAACATCAATATAAAAATCAGCTGGAATTCTGTGTACTAAACGTAAAAGAAAATTACAAAAAAGGTATCTAAGAATATACAGAACACAAAGGAAAGTATAACAGTTAAAAGACATTAAAGAAAATGTAAACCAATGGAGAAATACCATGAAATAAAGAAAAAGGTTCAATGTTGTAAAGATATAAATTCTCCCTAAACTGATCTACAGATTCAGCATCATTTTAATAAAAATTCCAATAGGTTTTTATGCAGAAAAGGACAAGCTAATTCTAAAATATACATGAAAGAGCAAAGGATCAAAAATAGACAAGACACATCAAGGCAATCCCCATCAAAATTCCAATGACATTTTTCTCAGAAATGGAAAAAAACAATCCTAACATTCGTATGGAATAACAAAAGACCATGAAAAGCCAAAACAATCCTGAGCAAAAAAATAAATAAATAAAGCTGGAGGCACAACATTACCTGACTTTAAACTATACTACAAAGCTATAATATCCAAAACAGCATGGTACTGGCATAAAAAGATACATGGATCAATGTAATAGAATAGAGAATCCAGAAATCAACCCATACACCCACAGCCATCTGATCTTTGACTAAGGCACCAAGCCTACACATGAGGGAAGAGACTGCCTCTTCAGCAAATGGTGCTGGAGAAACTGGATATTCATATGTAGGAGAATGAAACTAGACCCATACCTCTTACCATATACCAAAAATCAACTCAAAATAGATTAAAGAGGGCCAGCCCGGTGGCGTACTGGATAGTGCGCCGCGTGGGAAGCGCGGCGGCGCTCCCGCCCGAGGGTTCGGATCCCACATACAGACCGGTTCCCGCTCACTGGCTGAGCGAGGCGCGGGAGCGACGCCGAGGGTTGCGATCCCGTTGCCGGTCCTGGTCCGGTACGGGGGCAACACTGAGGGTTGCGATCCGTTGCTGGACACGGAAAAAGACAAAAAAAAAAAAAAAGATTAAAGAATTAAATATACACCCTGAAACAATAAAACTCCTTAAAGAGAACATGGGAAACACTCCAGGAAGGAGGATTGGGTACAGACTTCATGAATACAACCCCAAAGCGCAGGCAGCCAAAGGAAAAATAAACAAATGGGATTATATCAAACTGAAAAGCTTCTGCACAACAAAATAAACAATTAACAGAGTGAAAAGACAACCAAAGAGTGGGAGAGAATATTTGCAAAATATACATTCAACAAGGATTAATATCCAGAATATACAAGGAACTCGAACAACTTTACAGCAAAAAAACAAGTAATCTAAACCTAATTAAAAAATGGGCAAAGGAGTTGAATAGGCATTTCCCAAAGGAAGATATATGAATGGTCAACAGACACATGAAAAAATGCTCAATATCACTCAGCATTCAGGAAATCCAAATTGAAACCACTTTGAGATACCGTCTCACTCCAGCTGGATGCTGGTGAGGATGCAGAGAAAAAGGAACCCTCATACACTGTTGGTGGAACTGCAAAATGGTGCAACCTTTATTGAAAATGGTATGTAGGTTCCTTAAACAATTACAGATAGATCTACCTTACGACCCAGCTATTCTACTGCTGAGTATATACCCAGAGGAATGTAAATCATCATGTCAAAGGGATACCTGCACTCCCATGTTTATTGCAGCGCTATTTACAATAGCCAAGAGTTGGAACCAGCCCAAATGTCTGTCATCAGATGAGTGGATAAGGAAAATGTGGTATATCTACCCAAAGGAATACTACTCTACCATAAAAAAGAATGAAATACTACCATTTGCAGCAACATGGACAGACTTAGAGAAAATTATATTAAGTGAAATAAGCCAAGCACAGAAAGAGGAATACTGCATGTTCTCACCTATTTGTGGGAGCTAAAAATAAATAAACAAATATACAAACAAATAAATGGGGGGCAGGAAGAAGACACCACAATCACAACAATTCCTTGAACTTGTTAAGACAAGTGAACAGATATGATGTTGATGGGTTGGGAGGGGGAAAGGGAGGAGGGGGAAGAAGAATTGGTAAAGGGACATGAAAATCAACTACATTGTATACTGATAAATTAAAATTAAATAAATAAGTAAAGCTACAAAAAAAAAGGATTATGATGTGAGGTGATGATATATTAATTAGCTTGATTGTCGTGATCATTTCACAATGTATATACTTATTTCAAAAGAGTTGTATACCTTAAATATATATAATTTTTGTCAGTTTTACCTTAATAAAGCTAAAAAAACAAAAAACAAAAAGTAACTGGTACAGGGACAAACCAATAGGCCAGTAGAAGTATGGCAAGAAATCTGTTCATAAAGATGCAAACTCATTTGACTAGAGCAGGCTCTGCAGATTGTGAAGGTAAAATAAACTGTTCAGTAAACAGTGCCAGGAAAATTAGCTATCCACTCAAAAAAATTATGTAAATGAATACCTACTTCACACCCCCCCCCACATACACCCCTCTAAGCCCAGATGGAGCAATGGTTTTAAAGGAAAATGCAGGTGCTCCAGTCAAGATGGTGGAATAGATGGTCCCCAGCATCACTCTCTCCCACAAATCAACCAATTTACAACTATAAAAATGTAACAGCCAAGCTGGGACCGCTGGAGCTCAGGGGAAGAGGAGAGACCTACGAGTGCATGAAGGTGGGAGAAACCATGATGAGAAAGAAAAAACTCCTCAGAGTGTTTTGGGCCATGGCCCACTTTAAGGCTGGAGCTGCTGAGTGCATGGAGCAGGAGCCAGCAGAAACTGGGCTGAGCCCGTGGCGCACTCGGGAGAGCACGGTGCTGGGAGCGCAGCGGCGCTCCCGCCCCAGGTTCAGATCCTATATAGGGATGACCGGTGCGCTCACAGCGCTCACTGGCTGAGCGTGGTGCGGCCGGTCTCAAAAAGGACAAAAAAAAAAAAAAAAAAAAGAAACTGTGGCTGTGCCCTTCAGATGGAGTTGCTTGGAGGCAGCAGGGGAGAAGAGGGCCTTGGTGGCCCCCAAGACAGCAAGACCACTAATAGAGTTCCCGTGGACCCACACAGGATAAAGGAGCTAGAACAGCTGGAAAAGGGGAGCCATTCAGAGGCCAGTGAGTCATCGCAAGAGACCGGCACAGGGCCCGTCCCATGGGAAGTGTTTGGAGCACGGGTGGGGAACAAAGGCCCACTGGGAGAACACTGGGACACAGCAACAACAGCTGATCTGCTCCCCAATCAGCGCAGGACTACTCAGAGGAGACTGGTTGGGAATGCAGAATTGCACAGGGTGCAGTTTGATGAAAAAACTCAAGCCCAGATCAGAGTTTCTACACAACCCAGGTGCACCAGTTCTCTGGAGAGCCAAAAAGTCTTTCCTAGGGAAACAGCAGCAAAACAGCAATTTAGCTGAGCTGCACGAAAAGTCTTTCCTAGGGAAACAGCAGCAAAACAGCAATTTAGCACAACTACACAGCTCCAGTACTGGTTCTCATAGGAAGTCCCCCTGTTTTAGAAATAAGCAAAGGACAAAAAAATTAGTTCCACCCAGGTACACCACCAGCGCCTCAGGGCCAGCCTGGGAACCTGAGGCTTGAAGCCGGGGACTGGACCCCACTGCCCACACCCAGGCACACCATCAGCACCTTGAGGCCCCGCCTGGGGGCCTGTGACATCAAGCCAGGACCAGAACCCCAGACCACAACCAGGCATACCGGCAGCACCAAGGAGCATACCAAAAACATCACATCCATGTGGGTGGCCAACACAGTAACCATGGCTGCCACAAAAGTGGCTAGACATCACAACCACCACGCAGATGGTC